CCCCCCCAGATTCCATCTCATGTTATGCCACTTGGCTGGCATCCCTCGTCAGGTAGGGGGCGCTGTGTGGCACTCCTCAGGTCCGTGCTCAACAATAACACCCCTGCAGTCACGGCAGGGTCCGCAGGGCCATGTAACATGTGGCCAGGGCCCGAACGGGTGCCAGGTATGGCAGCTGGTAATGCTGCCCAGTGTGCCCTCTCCCACGGTCTGCCACGGTCTCCCACGGTCTGCCACGTGGAGACTGGCTCAGGGGCCTCACTCATCCTCTTTTCCACTCTTTTCTGTTCCGTGCAAAAAAAAAAAAAAAACATAAACAAAGAGGCTTAGAAAAGAGACAAAGAAAACAAAAAAGAGAACAACTTTGAATATTCTGCCTGGAAGGACCCCGTTGGGCTAATTTATGATTGTAAGGTAATAATCTAAACGTGTTCCTGTGGGGGGGCGCTGTTTTTCATTTGGTCGGTGAATGACCCGGCTGACTTCTTGCTACGCCGTGCAGCGGGGCGCTGTGGTCTGTGGCCGGGGCAATTGGAGCACTTGCACAAGTGGGCCAGATCCCTTGTTTTCCATGCAAATATGCATCACGCTCTCTGTTTTCTTTGCGGGATCCCGAGTATGCGTACAACCCATCACTAGGTGTTTCTGTTTTGCAACAGAATACTTTAATTGTGACGGCTTGTGTGCGGGAAGAGGGAATGGCGTGGGAGATGGGTTGACTGCATCACGTCGCTTACAGCCAGATGGCTGGCTTTCCGGGTGAAATCATAAAGAGAGGGGTCAGATGTGCAGTGTGGCCCCCCCGAGTCTCCAGCCACACTACAGTACGGCATGTGGTACATGTTCACAGGACATTTATTTAAAAATATCGCTATTCGGGGTCACAACCAATTAGAAAAGGCTATGAGGCAAGCACACGAGATGTTTGTGTGCTGCTAAACTATGTTTAAAGTGCCAGTAAAATCGTCACACTGATTTTGTTTCAACCACAGATACCTCAACTGTAACTGGCTGTTCTCTGTAAACAAATGTCCTTCAGCATATCCAGACATGCTTTTATGATGCTTTTGGTGTCGATTCATACAGAAATGCTTCCAGTTCCCTGTGAACAAAGCTTACTTTGAATCAAGGTTATTGCCTTTTCACATTTTACCTTGACTGACCACAGACACATCGGCTGGGAGAGATTCTGACATTTGCGCTTAAATTAGGAGACAACTGGAAACTGTCTGTGTGGGTCAGCATGTATCCACTGCAGAGGGGCTATTCACTGACCAGTGTTTAACCACCATGACGAAACATTTAGCCAACGGCCACTGGAACTAAAACAAATTACTTAACCTCAGTGACTTACAACAGTATAAAATGCTTCATTAGTTTAGTCCAATCCCGCCACTGATGTTGATTCATTGCTGAATGCTTAAAGAAGGTGTCCCTTAATGTGAAACACAGCAAAAGTTTTTTTGCCACAACTGCAGTCTTAAAACTGTGATGAGTCATAGCAGACATGAGTTACATCCAGTCAAAATTACAAAACTACGATTTACAATATACACAATTCAGAAAATGATATTAGATCAAAAGTGAAAACATCAAAGGCAGATGTTTTTTTGCCCTAAAAGCTGTTATGTGTTAAGGACAGCTTACTATGTGGGATTTCGCCCAAACTCAGGGCCTCCCTAATTAAAGATGATTAGCTGGTTGTAATGGGAGAAACCAAGCAATTTAGCATTGAAATTAAACCTGGTAATTCAAGATTCTGTGTCAAATACAATCACAATATTTAATCTACAACGGTAATGTATGCATTGGCTGTTTTGTGTAAGTCATCAGTATGACAGGAGAAAATGGTATTGTATTTTATTTCCGTTATTTATTTTTTTTTGCCATACAATAATATATAAAAGCAAACCCTATTGTATAAAGGGGTATTAAAATGTATGTAATGTACAATACGATGACGCAAACTAACTGCAATTTTATTTTCCAAAAGCAGTGGAAAATCGGTTTCGACCTTTTAAGAAACCTAATAAATCATGATAAATGAACAAACTATAACAAAAGAAAGGCCAAAAAATCCCAAGAAAATCCCCTTCTTAGTCTTTGTGGTCGGTGCCTCTTTCTTCAGCATAACCTCTCCGCTTCCGTCCAGTCGGCTCTTTATAACCTAAACAAAGTCTTGATTGGATGACTGGACAGTGCACTCGTGTATTACATATTACCATCTTTTAAATAAAAATGAATTATTTTTTAAACAAAAAAGATCCACAATCTACTAAATGGAATACATTTGATGTAGGATAAACTAAACTGCTTTACAGTAATAATTCCAAACTTCCTTATATTTAGCCAAGAAAATTTAATGTCAATGTCAATACTGGCGTCCCAGTATCATGAAAGCCAAATGTTTAGATATTCATTTAAAATGCAAAATAAGAAATATTAAGTCAAGGAATGGCCCGTTTATGGTATATCGTTCAACAGAGTGGCGAAATTTGGCACTTAATCTATTTTAAAATTTGGATTCTATGTTTAATTTAAATGAAATGCTGTTTCTTTAGTGCACAAGTCTGAAGACAGCAAGCTTCTCCGGAATCTGGAGCAATCGCGTCGACGCGGCTTCAGAATCCCCCGCTCAGCTATAGGATGACTGCTTCGCTGCTTCATTATAATGCCGACTGTCAAACTTGGCAGCGCACACAGTAAAGTAAGCATGAAATTACAATGGTCGAAATTCTAGCTTTTAAGTTTTCAAGGAAAGAAGGTGGTCAGGTTTCAGTCAACCCTCAGATAATCATTTCTGATAAGGCAAGTGGGGAGACTGTTACACTTCGTATCAATATAAAATCCCTGGGAATATGAATAAACGCCAAGTAAATAAGGCTAAACGTGTTCCGTGATGTTAAAGTGTTCTCTCTCACTCACCCCTTACATTTAAACTGAGCACAGCGGGAGGAATAACAAAAGACTTAAGTCTTGCATGCTGTGCCCGTGTTTTTCTGACCGTGTTTGACCAGCCAGCGCCGGGGGCCGTCGGACATCACCATGGCGAGGCGGCCGCGCCAGTGACTCACTCCTACCTGACAGCTGCACGGGCGGCCTCGATCGGCGGGGACAAAGGGGCGGTTTGTGTGCGCGGACGGGACGCGGCGGCGTGTGCCCAGTCCAACAAGCGGCCAGTGGAACCCGTCAGAAATGGACCATTTGCTGGATGTTATTGGCTCTGGGCTGCTGGGTATGGTCAGCACATGGGCATCTGTCACCAGCAGCACCAGTTTGCAGTCCGTGTTTAGCCTGGTTGTCAGAATGTGAACTACTAAACAGACGATCTGAAAAGACCATGTTATGAAATAATAACTATCTTTATTACTCTTGCCAAGCACCCCCCCCCCGAATTCTCCCTGAACTTTTAATCTTTCTTGTGTTCTTTTTTTATCACTTTGTCTTCAGCCATTACTGTCAGGCTCTGACAGCATTTGAAGAAGGGGTCACGTCTGTGTGAAATTCAGCAGACCCTGGACGCATTCCAGTGTTTTAAAATTATAAATGTTAACTGGGCAAATGGCTCTCTGTATAAATTAAATGTGTCATTGTGTCAACACCACAGTAAAACTGCGGCAGTCCCGAAGACTTTTACAGCGTAACTGCAATTCCTAACGAAGAAGAGAAATTTTCCGTCTCCACGCACGAACATAAGAATAATATAAAGATTTATTAAAACTCTGGTGCACAAGATTGTGATCACTGGGCAGTTATACGGACATAAAAGGAGCTGGCAGTAAATGTTGGATAAAATAAACGTGCACGGATCTGAGCTTCACAATCCGACTTTACTGCGAGCAGAAGGTGCCGCAGGACGCGCGTAGATAGGCTTGCGGGGGTGGGGGGGACTCTGCTGTCAAATTTAACTGTGACTTGCTCCAGTAAAATATCCAGCTGTGGAAACTGGTATAAACTGTCACTTTTGATTAGGAAAAGCAGCAAAAAAGAAACTGAATGAAAATACCCCCCTCCCCCATTTTCTTCACAATGACCTTCCAGTACTGCGAACCGTTTGGTACATGTCAGTTCTTATCTAACAAACCTTAATAATCGAAATAATTCAGTCATTGTTACGGTATTCTCCAGCACACTGGAGACTCCGTTAAATGTGGGGGAAGAACGTAGCGTTCAGACTGGGGGGTCCGGAGCACGTGCACCGACACCGCAGCCGCACGTCGCTGTGTCCGTCTCTGTTCGCCACTAATAAAGTTTCTCGTGTTTGAACCTCCTTCCTTTCGTTCAGCAAGATGGCGGAATACGACCTCACCGCCAAAATCGCCAACTTTTTGGACCGTCACCTCGTTTTCCCTTTGCTGGAATTCCTTTCTGTCAAAGAGGTATCATTTCGTAAATCTCGTTTAACTTCCGGATCCCATTCTCTGGACGTTGAGAGCCGCATTATACGTCCCTAAAGCAATTATAAAAGGCACCGACTAGGCCGCAGCCCTTATTCCCCTCACCGGCGCTGCCTCATTCCATGTCGATAAGCGGCATGTTCGTTTAAAAGCGATTAAAACCATTTAAATCGTAACTATGATTTGACACACATCAGTAACATGACAGCTTTTAATATATGTCTGCACGATTTGCACGTTTATTTAATTGAACGACTGTGTCAGATTGGAGTCTGTAGCTTGTCGCTAAAACGATTACTGTACTAGTCAACTGTACTATATCAAATAGTAAAAGTATGAACGAAAACTTTCAGTGTAGTATTGATTTTAATCCGTTAACTTGCTCTGTCTCGATGCTGAGGGTATCTTTTATTTTAAACGGCGGTTTGATACCGGCGTGCGGGTCTGCGTCTGTCAGTAAATGGTCACTGTTACACTGTAGAAGTGTCTGGGAATAGGTGGCGAGGAAGAAGAGAAATGTTGGTGAAAGCTTCTCGAGTTCACCCTTTACCCAATGCATCTAAAATGTCAGTCTCTGATTTAAACTGATCTTGACAGTTAGCTATTTAATTCTCGGTTCTTTTCCCATGATTTATTTATACTCCCTGCAGTTCCGGCAGAATTTGAATGAGAAACTGGAGAAAGTCTCACCTTCAATAAATTTAATATCTGCGTTTTTTTTTTAAGATTTTCAGAATTTCATAAATGTACCTGTTTCTTCTAGATATTGCAGCACTTGTCCAAGTGGTGAGGGGCATTAGCTCGCGGTAGGTTTAGGATATGGATGGTAAAGAGTGAGATGTTTAAAACACAAAGACTAACCCTCTGCTGGTTCATGACCCAACGCCTTTTTCGTTCCTAAGTTGTAATCTAGAGGAATGCCGCTCAGATCTATTGGAAACCCCAGCGTGTTAATTTCATGGTTTTAAATTCCCAAATACTGAGCAAATGTTTGTCTGGATGTCTGCTTATGAACCAGTAGTCCTTTTGGGATATACCAAATCTCAGACCCTGTTTTCTATGCAAGTGGATATACAACCGGCCAAGTTTTTATTATTCTTTCAGATATACAATGAGAAAGAGCTCCTTCATGGTAAACTGGACCTCCTCAGTGACACCAACATGGTGGACTTTGCCATGGATGTGTACAAAAACCTGTTTCCTGACAAGGAGATTCCAAACTGTGAGTCTGCTTTTTAAACGTGTTATGTTACAATTTGTACTGTATACAGGTCTTCCAGATGGAACCTGGCATTCATCCCCAAAACGCATGACACCCAGAACTTGCTTTTGGCACAAACACTTTGCACAATGTCCTAAACTGCATGCTGAGTCACCCAGATGTCATGTTCACATACTGTTCACTTAAGCTTATCTTACTGTAGAAATGGTTTGGATTTAATTTACAGCTTGGATTCTGTGTTGCGTGTTGTCCCAAAATAGCAGCATTGGATGGCAGCAAGAACATTTCAGTTTCTTGATGAAATGTTTCTTTAAGAATATTGATATTAAAAAAAAAATGCTGTCTGAGCGCAGGGTGTTTAAAAGGCGCGTTTATATGTGGAATATCCTGTGATGTAAACGTCTCATGGTAAATTTGCAGTGTCCTGCAGTTAGTTCTCAGAAATCAGCATTTTCATTTCAGGCTGTTGACATGCACTTTACACTGAATTTCCAATATAAAACTAAATAGTAAAAAACCTGATGCAGCGCTAAAGGGGATAAATGGTTTCCTGAGTCCTTCAAAGTGGTGATTGAGCAAAGGTTCTGGAAAATGTTTAAGCGCCCGGTGGGGGTGTGGTCATTGTGACATGGCTCTGTTTCTCTGCATGCAGCCCTGCGAGAGAAGAGGACCGAAGTTGTGGCTCAGCTGAAGCAGCTTCAGGCAGAGACTGAGCCCATTGTTAAGATGTTTGAGGATCCGGAGACCACCAGGCAGATGCAGTCCACTCGGTATGTGGCGATGCCGACACCCCCACCCCCATCTTCTGTTCAGTGTAGCGGGGCTGAGCTTTAGACTTTTCATCTACAAGATGTGTGTGTTCAGATCCCATGATTCACATTTGCGTAAGGTTCAGGTGAAACATCTCGCTGAGAAGCACTCGCCGACGGCTTTCCCTCGTACGGCTCCCTTGCTTGTTGAATTTGTCTTCATTTACACTCAGCCTTTAGTTGGTTTATGCTGCAACCGGAATTTTTATAAATGTAATTTTGTTTTTGTCAAGATTTTTTTGTTGAATTTAGTCTTTGACTGTTAATTGTCCATTGAGTTGTTAATTATCTGGGGTCTTTGTTCACTGAGAAATTCCTCCCATTTTCCTGTGCCCTTCCTTTGTTTAACTGAAGCCTTTCAGTCAGTGTGTCCCTAGAAACAAAGCAATTTTCATTTTAGGTCATAGCCAGCTTGCAATTGCAGTAATTCATACTGTTTTCTGAAGGATGTATCTATTATTGTGTTGTTTTGCAAGGTTTAATTTTCTGGTGCTTAATCTCCCAGACAATGCTGGGCTTTTTGTGGTTTATAGAAACACTCAAACTTAAAAACCACGATGAAAGCAAACAAGCATTTGACAGCATGATTCATTATCTGGTAACGCCGCCATCATGCTTTAAATCCCTGTTTGTCTTAGACTGCCCTTTCAGTTACAGACATTCACTCCCGCATTCTTCAGTGGATGCCACTTAACCTTTTAGTTGTGACGTGTTGGTGGCCGTTTTGCAGATTGATTGACGGGTGGCTGAGATTATTGGAACATGAACCGGATGTGGTCCCGGGGGGTGACCGATTGACATGGTAACCATGAGGCTCCTAAGGGTGATGGTGCTGGCAGGAATGTCACCCGAGTCTCATCACCCAGCTGGTGACAGTTTGATGGAGCTGGTAACCTCTCTGCTAGGGTGCTGAAAGCCTGAGGTGGCCAGAATCCTGCTGCTTTCAGAAACATTCTAATTGCCACCTGACATAAACCTGCGATCCTGAATACCTCTCATGACTTTGAGTGAATAATTACTTGTGGAAAGCAGTCGAGGTTCGCTGTGTTGGTGGAGGGTTGGCGTCTGGCAGTCAGGACAGCGGAAGTAATCGTGTCTGTCCCTTTGATGCAGTTTTTGTGCTGTGGAGGGAAATGCCAGATGGACATTGTTGAAGCTCCTCTCATTACCATTCAGGCTTTAAATAAATGCTCGCCTATCGGGAGGTGCTTGTGTCAAGATTTAAATGTAAATGAATAAATGGAAATTGGGCTGTAACTCTGGGCGTGCCCTGCAGCGGTGGGCCGTAACTCTGGGCGTGCCCTGCAGCGGTGGGCCGTAACTCTGGGCGTGCCCTGTAGCGGTGGGCCGTAACTCTGGGCGTGCCCTGTAGCGGTGGGCCGTAACTCCGGGCGTGCCCTGTAGCGGTGGGCCGTAACTCCGGGCGTGCCCTGTAGCGGTGGGCCGTAACTCCGGGCGTGCCCTGTAGCGGTGGGCTGTCTTTGGCCGCAACTCTCCCAGCACAGCTTGGTGCCTTTCCTCAAATGATGCGTCTTTCTGAACTTTCTAGCAATTCCTCCTGAGCACGTTATTTGTATTTCATGTGCTCTCTGATAAAGAGGCGGACTGAAAGCTTGTGCTGTTTTAATTGTAGCACTTAGGTTGCACGTCTGGCTTTCGTTACCGGTGTTTTTGATGTCTGAATGTCTCAAAATATAGTGTGTTTGGCTACTGGGGATTTTTTTGCATATAGTGGGGGGGTGTGGGGAGGAGAAAGGGTGGTGTGGATTTTTAAACCCCCCCAAGTCAGAAGGTGGCACAGTGGTATTGAAATGCACTATCAAAGAGAATATATGGGACGTTCCCTTCCTTGTGTCCTGTGAAGGTCTTGTGACAATACAGGAGATAATGACCCTCCCCCCAAATATCATGTTTGTGCACGTTGTCGTCCACGTTCTAGATTGCTGTTTCTAGTTAGATGGTTGGAGATCAACTAACCCCCAAACCCGTTCCCCGATGTCAGCATCTGTCCATAGGGAGGCAGTGTGATGATGCAGATAATGAGTGGATAGTGAAGAGGAGTGGATGTGGAGAGAGGCCCGCGGCCGAGGATGCCGGCCGGCCGGAGAGCGGAGTGGATGTGGAGAGAGGCCCGCGGCCGAGGATGCCGGCCGGCCGGAGAGCGGAGTGGATGTGGGGAGAGGCTGAGGATAGCTTGGTCAGCAAGGATGAGGCCTTTTTGCTGTGGCTACTCAGGCTGGGACTCCTTTGTGAAGTTGAGCGAGATGCTTCACCTGATCTCTCTAACTGGGTACATAAATGGGTGAAGCATTAAGAGCAGGCTAATCCGGTCAGATGAGTGGAGTTCTCTTAATGTCCAGCCTCCCTGTCCTGACCATGTTACCGCCTTGTTTTGCAGGGACGGCCGGATGCTCTTCGACTACTTGGCCGAGAAGCACGGTGTAAGCTTTTGGACACACTCTGGCTCATGCACACAGCCGACTCTTCCTCTGACATTTCTGTGAACCGAGCCTTTGGGGCTGGGGGGGCTGAATGACTCCCCAAGCCTCATTCTGGGGTATGTGCAGGCACTTGCATTCCATGGCGAGCTGCGGAGGGCGAGTGAATCCCACAGGCCTCCGCCAGTCCAGCCACAGGACTGTGGGGAGTCCTATATTCTCTGTAAGCCCCCCCCCCCAACAGAGACCTGACCTGCCCTGTGTACTCAGGTCACACTCGCCACCAAGCCTCTGGTCTCGTTCGCCCACTCAGGGCTGTCTGCCTGCTCGCATTAGGTTGTCGTCATGTCACAAAGGCCATCGTGTGGCTCTGAAGCCGCATCGCGTAGAACATTCTGGAAAGATTGGGTCTTCGCACTGCGTGGGCTTCGGCCGCCCCCCCTCTTGCCCCTCCCTATGCCGTCAGAGCAGCCTTTTTCAGGAAGCGTTCTCAGTGCCTTTCTCACTCGGGGGTCCAACAGGTGCCCATTAAACCCCCCACTTTTCCGTTTCCTTTCAGTTCCGCCAGGAGTACCTGGACACCCTGTACCGCTACGCCAAGTTTCAGTACGAGTGCGGGAACTACTCGGGGGCCGCGGAGTACCTCTACTTCTTCCGTGTCCTGGTAGGTGCCCCCCACCCCACTGCCACATGGTCACCCTGGCATCTCGCTCGCACACACAGGTGTTCAAGGATGGCCAATCAAATTGTCGCCCCAGGAAACGCCATCAGGGGTCTGCATTTGTGCGGCCCGCGGTCACTTGAAATTTTTTGCTGACATCTGTTAATAATAATAAAAATCAGAACGGATGATCTTGTTTCCGGCTGGCGTGCTGTCTGTAAGAAAGGTGAGCCCTCCCCGTCCTCACGCTGAGGAAAGCCCCTCCCCAGCTCGCGTTTACGAGCAGACGCTGTCAGACGAACTGCGTCCCAGAACAGGCATAAATATCCCTTTATGACGCGGCTCCTCGCTGCCAGACCTTACCGAACACCGTATATCATGAGGCACACGGAGACACTTGGCGCGTGAGAGACGCAGACTCTCAGGAATAAATCTGACGACACGCCCCTCACAAGTGTCAGAGGCCTTTTCTGCTTTTATCGTGAAAAATGAGAGCCCTGCCTGTTTTCTTCCTGATGACGTGCTGTTCACTCTCTGGCCTGTGGGCCGGGGTGCTGCCCGGCGGCTAATTGCATCTGAAGAGCGTGCGTCATGCCTCGTTTAATTCCGCGCACGTTCCTGTGAGTAACGAAACTGCAGCCGCCGGAGCCCTAGGGCTTTGCTTTTACCGGAATGTGCTCTCCGTCTGGACTCGGTAATCCGTCTTTTTTCCTGGGAGTTGGGGCTGTCAGGGTGACTCTGCAGATGACATGTCGGTTATGGTTTGGTAGCCGAAGGGTCACGTGACATGGAAAACGGGACATGTCTGCTCCTGATAAGGAAAATGTCCCGGTCTGGACTTGAACAGTGAGGACCATAAACACTCAGCTTCGCTTCGTCTTCCTTTTTGTCACTAGGCAGAGCTGATGTTTCCATTTTAAACATTCGCATTTATTCATTCATCTGACTCTTATCCGGAGCAGCTTACGCTCGAGAGAGTGGTTACGGTTCCTCTGCTCTTTTTGGGATTTGAACCTGTGACCTTTGTGTTGTTAACCCACTGCTCTACTGGTTGAGCTACAGTAGCTATCTTGCCCCGACTGCTTTGGCATGTTTTCAGGGCTCATCCTTACTCGGAAGCGGCCCGGCGGCACGGCGGCCTTTAGAGGGAGGTGATTGCGGTTCAGCCCGAGTGCTGGCGGGATCCGCTTTACATGTCTGCTCTTAGTGCCCCCTCCATAAACAAAGGGCTCATTGCTGGGCCCCCAGGAGTGAGCGAAAGACAAACCACGGGGTGTCAGGGTTGAGGGCCTGGCGACGGGCGGTCCGTGAGATTTGACCGCGGTGGGGGGGGGGCTCCTGGAGACTGCAGGTGGCGTAGCGGCTTAGGAACCTGACATTTCGGTCGAGGAACTGGCGGGTACCAGAAAGACTGTGCTGTCGTATCCTGTAGCCATTTAAAGGGTCCAGTCATTAAATATTTGTCCAGTAATCTCTTTTACCCTGTGTGTGTGTGTGTGTGTGTGTGTGTGTGTTTTAAAGGCCAGCCTTCGCAAGCTCAGGATGCTTATTACTACTGGGAACTTCGACTTCTAAAAAATTCTTTTCTTATCTGACCCACCCCTGTGGTGTGGCTTTGAAAGAAGATAGATTCTTTGCAAATGGACTGAATCGAATCACTGACGCGTCTGTAGTCACGATTCCCCGAGAAAGGCAGACATGGCCATTTCCCTCAGCGTTCCTCAGTTGAAAGATCCGCCCGCCAGCCCTTTGGGACACTCAGTTTGCGCTTGAGCGGAGCTGCCTGCAGGTGGCATGGTGGTTAAAGCACTGCAACGGGGCCAGATCCAAAAGCGGTGCGGTGTGGTGAATGAGAACAGCTGCTGCTGGCGACGGGCTGGTCGGGCCACGGCGAGCGGAGCCGCGTGATGTGACGCTCCGGCTGGGCCGCGGCGAGCGGAGCCGCGTGATGTGACGCTCCGGCTGGGCCGCGGCGAGCGGAGCCGCGTGATGTGACGCTCCGGCTGGGCCGCGGCCAGCGGAGCCGCGGCACTCTGTATGTTCTGCAGAAGAGCCCCCACTGGATTCCATTGTATCGGATTCGCGATTCCTTTGTCCGCGGGCGGTTGCTGACCCGCAGATCTCAGGCGACCCGGACAGCACCAACCTTCTTGAGGCTGCACGGAAAATATGCCTCATCGATGTGAATCCCGTGCAGAATTTATTTGCCCGTCCTGGACCCCCTCCCCCCCCCCATTTTCACAAACCACCTCCCTGTAATGGTGGGGGGTGGGTGGGGGTATGGGGTCCTTGACTCTCAGTACCCGGTAGAGTCCTTCAGGATGAAGTGGGCCCTGCAAATCCATGGCCAGAGGTCCAGTTACTTGGCTATGTGAAAAGAGCAAGTTGTTCGTTTCGCTGGCTAGTGCAGGGATTGGATGTTGGGAATGAAGATCGAGTGCCCTGTCGGATTTCCAGCACAGTAAATTTATTGTTGCTGGTCAGTCAGCGAATGTGCCTCTCGCGGACAAATGGAAACTCAAGGTAACCTCTGGAAAAGCCAGGTATTAAAACTATTCTAGCATGGCCTTCGTGGAAAGCGGGCCCAGCGGTAATGACATGGAGTTTCTCCAGAAAAAAAAAAGGCAGAATAACAAAACAAACACTTTTTAGAAATAAAGCGGTGACCTTTTTATTGGCAGGAGAGGGCATTTTCCCTGTGTCGATCGCTCTTAGAAGTTCCATATTTCCGAAGCTTGTTTGGACACGGTCAGATGGCAGCCCCGATCAAAAGGCCCCACTGTTCATCTCGTCAGTCAGTCCGCCTAAGAGCTGTCAGCCGGCCGGCTCCGTGACGGGCTGACAACAAACCCCGATTTTAAAATATGGAAACCGGATTGCAGCTAATAGTCGGAACGTCCAGCTTTGACGATTTATGCACCGTTTATGTAACTAACTTGGAAAATAACGAGGCTGGTAATTTAGGAGTGTGAGAGGTGGGGGTGGAGGGGGGGCGTGTAAGGGGATACAAAGAGATGTAAAGATCATGCTTGGTTTCCTTTCTTAGGATGTCTTTTTATAGTGCTGGGCCAGAGACACCTTAAATTCCCTAAAAACCCCGGATTGTGTTTCCTCGAGCCACTAAGACTGCAGTCGGCTTAAGGCTGGATCTCGGAGAAGGTGCTGTGGGAACAGAGGGGTATGAAGCCTCCTGCCCTTCTCACACCGCTCCTCCAGCTCTGTGGAAAAAGATTCGTTAAACTTTAGCAGATATTGTTTGATTATAGATGATTCTAACACAGCAGGTGGCAACGACCTTTAGACTCGGGGTCTGAGGGCTTTGTAATGATGGGTGATTTATCCAGAGAGAGAAGGTCGTGGCATTAATGCTTGTAACGTAAGGGGACCTTCTGCTCTGGGTTGGCATCATCCGTTTTCCTCTGAAGTGTTGCGGTATCTATAGCGACAGCCCGCAGAATAAGTGTGGGGGCGAGAGCCTGGGGGCCAGAGCCTGGGGGCCTCTCGTGTTGTGCCGTAAATCTGCTCCCGAACCAGCAGGTTTCAAAGCGAGTTTCAGAGGCTCCTGGATCTGGGGAGCTTAGAAACATGCCTGAGGGGCTGTGAAGCCTGGGTCTGACGGTGTCGGTCTTATGAGGGGGTGGGGGCTCTGTGGCTGCCCTGTTCACACGGCCATGAGATGTGAGATGCAAGCTCATCTGTCTCTTTGGGGCAGGGGTGCACATTTCTCGCAGGATCAGCCAAGCATTTGTGCAGTAATGATTTTGTGCAGTAAAGAAAGGTAATTCGTTAAGATTTGGATTGACCCATCTACGCTGAACTCGTGGGTTTTCTGGTCACTTGTTCCCAGGGGCTTCCGGTGCTTCCTGTTATCAGGGATTCCCTGAGCTGGGGCTTCCCCAAACGCTTCTGTCCCTCGCACCGACTCGCTGTCCTCTGTGATGCATGTCCGTCGTACTGTAGCTCAGGTGTGTCGGGTTCGGTTCTAATGCAGATGATCCCTGTGGTCTTGGAGTCGCTCTCGTCTGACACACCGGCTTTAATGACCCTCGTTGATCAAAGGGGGTGACACATGTGTTTGCAACTACAAACACCAGTGCACTTCATTAACCCCCCCCCCCCCCCAGGAAGACAGGGGCTCTCCTTTGAGGGGGCACGTCGCTGGGGTCAGCGTGGGGACAGAAGAATCCTGAGGCTTCTCCATGACTACAGCTGCCTCACGCCAAGTGCCGACCATGTGGTCCTGGCTCTGCCCAAACCACCCCCCTCCCACCCCGCCAGCGTTCAGGGAAGGCCAGGCGGCCTGGTTCCCAAGTCGCGAACCAAGAACCTTCCACACCTGAGTGCTTGAGAACCCTACCCAAGGCCTGGGAGTGCAGAATAATAACGCCATGAGACAGGCTCACGTGAGACGTGCTCAACCTAACGATGGTTTTCTGTGTAAAGGATTCTCCGCGTGACCAAGCAGACTGGCCAGATCAAGGCACGGAGCTGCTGAAGTTTGCAGGACTTGTACCTGGAGCAGATCCTGTTCCAGCCGGCATCTCGGGGATACGGACAAGGCGATCGGCAGTGTGTCAGGGCCGCTCGGCCTGGTGCAGCACATGAGGCTGGATGCGCTTTCGCCCCTCCGCCAGCTCATGGGATCATGTAGTTTAATTTGTTTTCTCCATCTAAATAAACGCTGGAGTATTGGGACCAGAGTGGGTCGGTGAGGCAGAGTGACTGCCTGTCCTCTCGGCTTTGCCTGGGGGGGGCACAGTCGGAGCATCGATACCATTCGATCTCTGAAGCTTTGCAGGGTGAAATAGGAAATCTATTCTGCAGGCCGACGTTGACAAAGTCCAGTGCAGACTCCTGTGTGAAGATGCAGGGCCGGGGTTCGGCTGATCGGCGGCTCTTTGTCTGCCCCTAACGCCTGCGAAGGCACACTGTTTACGCGCACGGCGCCGATCGCCCCCCTTTGTGAACCGGAGCCTGCGAGCTGCGGCTCGCCGCTGCATCGCTGCGCCTGGGGACTCAGCTCTGCGGCGTCCCGCCTTGTTTCAGGTTCCCGCGGCCGACAGGAACGCCCTCAGCTCGCTGTGGGGGAAGCTGGCCTCTGAGATCCTGATGCAGAACTGGGAGGCGGCTATGGAAGACCTGGGCCGGCTGAGGGAGACTGTCGATAACAATGTGAGCACTGGGGCCTGTCACCTGACACTGCAGGCCGGCTTCCTTACATAGGCCCTCTATCGACTGCCTTTCTGTCAAGCTTACGGTTTCTCCTCCTGCCCCATGCACACACACACACTCTCCCTCTCTCTCTCTCACACACACACACACTCTCTCTCTCTCTCATGCACACACACTTAGATTCTTGAGCTGTCATATATCAGGTTAAAATTGTAATTGGAGAGGGCCTTAGGGGTTGGGGTGTTTATTTTTACTTGGGTGGGGGGAGGGCATGCTTACTGTCTTGTTTTCATTATTTATAGGTCACATGAATGTATTTGGGATACTTCATACATCTGTATCATTACTGTTCTTGTAGTAGTTCAGCATTTCCAGTTGGGCCTGAGATGTGTGCATTCCCTCCCAGTCGGTGAGCTCCCCCCTCCAGTCGCTCCAGCAGAGGACCTGGCTCATCCACTGGTCCCTCTTTGTGTTCTTCAACCACCCCAAAGGCCGGGACAACATCATTGAGCTCTTCCTGTACCAGCCACAGTAAGTACAGCCCAAATCCAGGGAGGGGGGAGGGGGGAGGGCTGTCGCTGTCAACGGGGTTAGGCTGGACAGAGGCTCACTGGCTCTTCTGTTGAGGCCATAGTTCTCTCAGATGAAAATGCACTTACGGCGTCGGAGAACCCAAAGCCACCACTGGAAGCTCTCCCCCCTTCCGTCTTCCGACTTACTCGTGCTCCTCCTCTGCTTCTCATCTATGACTGATCAGCCCGCAGCCCATTGGTGTACCTGTGAAAAGCAGCCCCTCTGCCCCAGGTGATCAGATTCACTGGCCTTCAGCCCTCTGAGAGGATTTCTAATGAGATTTGAAAGGGTCTCGGATCCGGAAGCGTGTTTCTGAGCTGTTAGGGGCCTTTGGTGTGTAAGAGGAACCCCACACGCCCCCCCCCCCCCGCCAGGTACGGAAATGTAATCCTCAGGAGTGGATTGAGATGAAGTCTTATAGGGGCTCCAGCTCCCAAGAGGCCTTGTGTTAATCTTCCTTCTCTCCCAGTTTTTTTTGTTCTTGTACATAATGAAATGGTTCAGAAGTTCTCCTCCCTATGTGTCTTGTTGAGAGCACAGTGGGTGGCTTTGGAGAAATGGACCACAAGCTTACAGAGAGTCTCTGACTCTGCTGGTTTGGGCCAGCATGTGCTAATGAGTGTCCATCTGACAGTGCTGCTCCAGTGTTTGGTGTGAAGTGCAGTGATTCCGACCGCAAAAGGGCTGTTTGTGCAGGGCTTATCTCAGCGAAAGTCGAGTACACTCTTGGAATGGATGTTTCTGCCCTTGTGATGTGGGGCACTTCCCTGTGAGGTTTAATTTTGTCACAAAGAGAAATGGAATTACTGTTGAAGTTGTACGCTAATTATTTGCCCCGTGTGGGTCTCCCGTGGGGCCCCCGCCCCCGTGTGGGTCTCCCGTGGGGCCCCCGCCCCCGTGTGGGTCTCCCGTGGGGCCCCGCCCCCGTGTGGGTCTCCCGTGGGGCCCCGCCCCCGTGTGGGTCTCCCGTGGGGCCCC